CCTGGTCCGATGCCCATTGATGAGAGATGACCCTCCCATTGATGCCACATTACCTCCAACTCACCTACCGAATCCACCGGAGCTTGACCCAAGCCCGAAAGTACATCGGACTCAACTAACCGATTCGGTGGGGAGAAGGCAGGCGAAAGAACTCCATCCCGCTGGACAACGGCTATCGGTGACGCACTCCCCGCAGGCGTCCCTTGTTGTAAACCGGCATCCCAATCTTGTTCCCATTGCATTTCATGCATATCATGCATGTTGCATCGTGTTCGGAATAGGAGTTAGCCCGGGCACGGGAAACGAGGTATGTTTCGTACTCCGAGTGACGGAATGTGTCTCAATTCCCCAGTCACCGACACTCCGGATTATCCATGATGGCGTTAGGTTTTAGCTTTAGTTTCATGTGCATTCATCCTATATTGAGTTGTGCATTTCGATTCCTCGGCCATCATGCCTCGGTATGCGCGATTGGTGGCACGAGGATTGAGACATGCATATATTTGTGCAGATACATTGCTATGCCCCTTTCCTGCTCTCTGTTGCAGCAAAATAAAGAATCAGCAACTTTTCGGGACTTGGCACGCTTTTCAAGAATAACTGCTAAACAGAGGCTAATTGGGGCATCCCAGTGGATTTCCGCGCAAGGCAGCCCAGACATACAACATTCATCAGAAGCAAGGCAGTCCCTGGCTTGCACGCCAGTTTTACAGCTTTCTTAGTCAATTGGATTAATTAATTAGGAATTTGTACATTTTTTGGACTGTAATATTTGGACTGTAATATTCTTTCATTTGGAATTGTATATTTATTTGGACCCTCTGCGCGAGGGCCACAACTGTAATAAGTGTGCGTGTGTGTGTTGTATGTCTTCCAACCCCACGTCTTTCTCCCTTTTATTATCCGCTTTTGATTGTTAGATTAGGGCATCTTTAAATTAGCATACAGTATGATAGCATGTTTGCATTCATTCATCTGTTTCGCATGCACCGGGCTCGGCGCACCATA